TATTAATAAATGACTAAAACCGATTTTGTTTCTGCGCACTCTTTGTATGCAAAAAAAAGATTCATGAAAAACGCCTCCAAAATCGCAGTCAAAGGTGGTATCCTGCCTTAATTCGTTCTTGGTCTCTTTCCAACTGTTACTTCAAAAGGAGACAAACGTCGATTAAAGTAAAATTAAAGTTAGGCGACGTTTGGTGAAACCGAACCTTCAGCGTTTACGGATCGTTCTCTGCCATCAGCCTTAAGCCCGTATCAGACTACAGACTCCCGACTCTGACTCGACTTCTGACTCGGACTCCCGACTATGATTCAACCTGCAATTAGAGTGGCATATTCCCGAGTCGGCAGTCAGGGTCCGCCGGTGCTTTGCTGTGATTGCTTGAATCCTAGTCGGGAGTCCGAGTCAGTAGTCGAGTCAAGTCGGGAGTCTGTAGTCTGATACGGGCTTTACGCATGTAGATGCGCGACGTCGATTACAACGCGAGTCGTACTCGAGAATCGGTCGACTCAGGGCCAGAGTACCATGTCATGGAAGTGTTCGGAATTGATTCCGATCTAAATTATTTCCAAGATTTCTATGGTGTTTTCTAGGGGAAGCGGAACCATTCCGATTGGAATCTATTCCGAAAAATTCCATAATACGTGGCCAGGGTACCATGTCATGGAAGTGTTCGGTATTGATTCCGATCTAAATTATTCAATTATTTCCTAGATTTCTACGGTGTTTTCTAGGGGAAACAGAGCAGCTCCGATCGAAATCCATTCCGAATTTCGTTTTCATTTTCATTAAAAAAACATTTTCACGACAGGTACCTGAGCAGAAAGATTGTCGTAAAAGTTTACGATTCCATACGACGCAAGTTAATGTCGGAAGTCAACGTATGACGCTCGCGATCATCTTTCTGCTCTCAAGTGTCACTCCTCCCGAGATCTCGATACTCTTGATCGCGCGCGACCGATCGGCGCCGAGCGGCGACGCGGGCGCTATTGCGAGCCAGTTCGTAGGACCTCTATTATGCGCCGTCTCTCCTTATCGCGCGCGATCTTCCCGGTCTGACACACACGCCCGTGGCGCGCGTATGGCGTGCCATTGTGCCGGCGGGCAGGAGTAACGCTCGTGTCACTCCGCGCGTAACGCGAGCGTTCGCCTCCGCGACTCGAGTGGAGCTAGGTAAGTAGCCGGTTGCACGGTTAATGCACTCGCCGTCGCTCAAAAGTGATCACTTTTCGACCGAGTGTCCGCTCGTACGGTGAGGCTCGCAAAATAATTGCTCGTCCGCAAAGAAGGGAAAAATCGCGTCCAACATCCGCATTCGTCGATGAGTTCGGAGAGTCCGGCTAGACGCGAACTTGTTAGAAGTTCGAGCACAATGGTAATAATTGAGGAGTTTCGTAGAACAACGACTTCAAGTTGTTTTTTCGTATACCCATACACAAGAGCTAAGCTGGAAACTTTGTAATCGTACAAATTAATATTTATGAAGTGTGTATTTCGAAATCTCACAGGTTGCTCGATAAACACGTAAACTTTTAATTTCCGAACTTTGAAAGTAAAATTTTTACACGAAAACTCGCAAGTCGAATCGAGCAGTTCTTCCAGTCCTCGGTGATTTTTTTAAGTTAAACTACGTCTGCGCGGGAACTTATTTTAAGTATGAAACCGTGTGCAGGTTGGATTTTACAAAGAGCAAGCACGCCGCTCCTTTGCCGAATCGTTCAAATTGACTCTTCGCTCTGTTATCTTTATCAATATTTAGAGCGAGCATTGAAGTCAACATTTCCCTTATCGACGTAGAATCGGACATCGCGGAGTCTTGCTATACAAGTTCTTCGTTTCCTTCAGGTTTCTACCTTCTTTCTATCGGTCACTCGCACCTCCTCTTTTCTTCTCTCTCCTTCATTCCCCCCCTCTCTCTTTCTCTCTCTCTCCTTCCGTTTCTCCTTTCGCTCTTCTTCTGCTGCCTGCGCCCCGACATCGCCGTGGTTCCGTTATCCGCGGCAAATACACGCCGGGCAATCCTGTACGCTTTACCTCCGCAGAAAATAAACAGCACGGCGCGGCATCGACCGTGCGTTATTGACACCGTGTATGCGATCGGGCTGAAAAACAGACTGACGAGGCGAAATCGAGTATCTGTAAGTTGCATACGAACCGGCAATTTTTTCACAAGGATATCAAAAATATTAAGAGGCACGTAATTAAAAACAGATCAGCGAAATTTAATTCTCGTCCCTCCCTCGGCGATGTATTTTTTACAAACTCGTCATCGGTCGATGAAGAGAAAATCAGCGCTTTTGCAAGTGGGATATTTCTCCCTGTCCGCTTATCTTTCTCGGTATCTAATTTTATTATGTCACGTCTGCGCCTCCTCATCTGCGCGATGTGATTTTTTGTCCCGGCGAAAAGAGCCGTTTGGCACGTACCAAATGTGCTTGAATCGGTAACTGGATCGATCGCTTCCACCCGGCTCTCCGGAGGACGTCTTTGTATAGTAAAGGATCACAATGTCGAGACGGCGACGGCGACGGCGACGGCGGTGTCTAGTCCTGCCATTATGCCATGGAACTTGGCGAAATCGGTTATTGGAAAAGTCGTCTCTGTAGCGGCCCTACGTACTATGAATTCCGCGGAGGTCCCTCGTTCAGGGCCTCTCACCAATCTGGGTTAGATTAAGGTAGTTATTTCGTAAAATCGTTTACGTGAGAATTGTTTCAAATTTTTACAGTTTAGTCTTTACATTAGATTAATGTAGAAAATTGCTTGACGACGCTTGGCTGGCAAATTCTAATTAAAGAATTTCTTTATTCATTGCGAAAAATATTACCTCAGCCAGGGTTTGAACCTGGACCTCCCTACACTCTAGGCGGGAGTCTCACCAATTCGACCACTGAGGCCATTAAATTAAAATTGACCGTCTCAAAGTTAAAAAAAAAAAGTTAAAGTTTGCTGTTACACGAAATATTACGTGTAAACCACGTTAAAAATATTATTACACGCGTTGTAATATTATTACATATTTGTCGAAGCTAGAATTTGGACCAAGTTCTAGCATCGTGGACTTTACAGATACACAAAATAGTAATCAATTTTTGTTGTAACACCTAGAAATCTACCTGCGATAGTAAAATATTCTTTTTAGCGCAACCGATTCTCTAAACGGACACGATTATCCTTCGCCTCTATTTTCTGCTGACACCCTGGACATTTTAACCGTCGGTTAATCTAACCGAGGTTAGCGAGAGAGGCTCTTATTTCGCGAATCGAAACGTTCAATCGCGGTGGCAGTCCGCTCGTTGCGTGCGTCGATCTATCGAGGGGAGGGAAAGCGTCGACCGCGAATAGGCCGCCCGCATTTGTTGTCCTCGCATTTACCGCGAGTAATCGCGCGAGGCAACGGCGCAAAAGTTTCCGACTGTAAGATAATTTCCTCTTCGTATGCTGAAAACTTTGGTCCGCGCGCGCGGTCGATCACGGAGGCGATGCTCGGCAACTCGCGCGCGCATGGGGCCGTCCAACTTCCTCCAGCCGCGTTCTCGTCCCGCAACGCGGCGCCGTTCTTCCGCGTTCAATTTAACGACGTTAAAATTAATTCCATCAGCCTTTCGACGCCGTTAGGGATTCCAAGTGCGATTGTGCGAGATTAGTGAAACTGATTAAGCTACTTCCGCCCCGTTTGACGTCTCGGTTTTCTATCGCGAGGCATTTCCGAGGACCTCAACAGGTCGAAGCGCGCCGCTCGTCGGATGTTGCGCCGACAGAGTCGGACGATTATTCGGCGCATCGTATTTACCATTTCTATAGAGGTGCGCTGGGGAGAGCACAGCCGCCCCCCCCCCCGCCCCCTCGTCGCGTTTCCACCCGTGGCCACCGTCATCCGAGGGGTAACAGCCTAAAGGCAGTCGGGATAAGAGGATGCGGGGAAAGGGGGGGTCGATGGGGCGGAATTATTTGCTCCGTGCGGCCGTGCAACTCGGCCCGAACGAGTGATTCTCATCGATCGCGAAATCTGTCCCCGGCGTGTCCCCACGTCTCACACGGCTGCTCCTCAATTGAATCGCTGATTCGCGTAGTGGTGTGCGCCAGGGGTGCTGCAGGTCTCCACTTTCGGAGACCGGCGTCCGCGCGGGAACAATGCTCCTACGTCTACGCCGCGTAAATCAACGGACGATATCCACGTCCGGATAAAAATAGTCCCCCGCGTATCTATGGACGGTGCAAACCGTCTATTTACGCGCGAGAGATCTGTATACAAGGCAACGGCACACGATACTATTTTTCCTACTGGATTGCCTGCGAGAGCCCATCAGAACGCAGAGTTTTACATCAGGTGGCCTGAGGCTAAATTCTGATTAGCTCTAGGAAGCAATCCAGTACACGGGAAGAATTTTCTCTTAAAATTTACCCTGAAAATTACGTGGGACAACGTGGCATTTTGAAGAACCGTATGAGAGTTTTTTTGAAAGTTTACCATACATTTCACTAGTAGAATGTATGGTAAAATTTCAAAAAACAGTCCTCCGGCCTCTGTAGAGAGCGCACGTACTTTATCTTTGTGACTGTTAATTTTATAATTATAACTCGCCTCCTTTGGATTTTTACTATCCGACTTCATATTACATTGGCCGGATTATTTTTAAGGTAATTGGCTGGTCTAGTTTATTTCCAATTTGTTATATTATGTATCCGCTGTGACAAACAAAATATCTTTTATTGTACTCATTATTTGTGATCTTCTTTCATTTTACACGTTATTATTGTAAACATTTTGATTTTCTATTAAATTAATTTGTATCTTCGTTAAGCCTGTGATCTCGATTATCGGTTTGTTACTTTTTGGAATGTGCTTGAAAAGGAAACCCTTGGTCGAAACGTCGCACTGTATTTTATTTGATTTTATTAAACACGTGCCAGTTAAGGTCGACTAAACTTATTCATTGTTATTGATTACTGGCAACCTAAAGAGATTATTATGTTCTCATACAGTTCTTCAAAATGCCACGTTGTCCCACGATTACATGATTTTCAGGATAAATTTTAAGAAAAAATTCTCTCCGTATAGGAAAAGTATAGTATCGCGTGCCTTTGGCCTAACATCTTCCCGGTGTGCCGCACGTAAATCCCGTCTCCCTTCCGCTTCCCTTTATCTCGCGAAGATGCTAAGAAGCGCACTTTTCTCCTCGAACAATACGGATTACAATTTGTACAACTATTCGTTCTCCCTCGCGCGGACAGCTGAGACTCCGCGTACGTAATGCGCCGAAATTAGAGGAGATTTGCCGAGGAGAGTTTGAATGTAATTTACGACGATATTTCTCGCGTTTCTTTCGCGCGAGTTTAAAGGCGAATTTGTTTTCTCGAGGTCGGCGATTTGTTCGAGAAGAAAACTCGCGGAGCGACCTAACGTCATCGTCTGGTATAGATGCAACCTTGAAGTGTTAACTATAGGTCGATCTGTATTCTGGTTGTCAACGTTACGACACGGCGAACCTGAAGTTTGTAAAGAATTTATTGCGCAAAATATTTTGATAAGTTTAAATATGTCAAGAATTTTTTTCATCGTGTCATAAAAAATCCTTTTTGAGAAGGTGTGTGTGAAACAGAATGTGTGTGTGAAACAGAAAAAAATCGACCGATCTCGCAGGGTCGTATCTCGATTTTGTCGACAATTTCCGGTTTTTCTGTTTGAACGCCCATTTAAGACCGAAAATTGCATAAAATCAAGATGCGACCTTGCGAAAGAGTTCAGTCGATATGTTCCCTAAAATTAACTTCTAACTTTCTGATCGATCTGGACTAAATTTTGCATAGGGTGGAAAGAAAATCTAGACTACCGCGAGACCTGGACACCTCATTCCATCGTTTTGATTTCATCCCCTTTCGGTGCCGACGCTGTAGCTTCCCACATATTCCCGATCCACATTTTCTATTCCAAAAGTCTATTCCGCATCAATTGCAAAGTCACTAATGCCGTCTGTATCAGCGATATTAAAACCCTCCGGCTTGACTGCCGACCTTTCATCTCTTTCCAGACGAGCGAGCGAGAGATAAAGAGAGAAACGTCCACCTCCGTTTTTTCCGTAGGTTTCCGTTACACCGACGCGTTTCCTGTGTACGACCCAATGCAAACACACGTACGCACGTCATAGCAAGTACGCGCCTCATTCCGGTCG